CAGTAACAGGTTGCTTTTATCATGCTGATAAGCTTCTTTGTCTTCTCCAAAGCGCCCAGTGCTGTGTCTGGCACATAACAGATCTGTTGATCGGTCAGTTTAAGGCCATTCTCTTTGTGGACTCTCCTGTAACTTCTGCAGTAATCACCGTAGTAAAAGAATAAATTCTAACTTTGTCTCTAGGTAGCAAATTGGCCTGGATGCTTATTAAAAATACAGCATCTCTGGAGCACCAGATTAAGTGGGGCTGGGATAAAGGTTCAGAATTTATTTTTTTTAACAAGTACTTCCGGTGATTTTTATTACCAAGGAAGTTTGAGAAACACTGCACGCTCTCTTGGAGTTCTTCCAGCTGAAGAGTCAGCAGAGCCAACTAGAGATGGTGCCACTCTACAAATCTCAGGGGTAGAGGAGGAAGAAAAGGCAAAGCTTTTATGTGATCAGTTTCCAGTCTCCTGTGATGTCAGCCCACCAGGAGCTGAGCAACACACATTTCTTTGTAACAGTTGGAGAGATTCCCAAGGAAAAGGTATAACCAGAACAATTTGCCTCTTCTCTCAGTTTTAACAGTTATTTTAAAAGTTTATTTTAGGCAATTATCACCTAACAGATAAAAGCTTGGCTTGTAGGGCCCTTCCTGTCCTGGTTCCTACCACTTTTCCTACTTCGTTACCTGGAGAACATGAATTTGAGAGCTAGACTGCCTCGGTTTGCATCCAGGCTTTGCCATTTACTAACTAACTCTGGGCAAATTAATTAATGTCTCTGTACATTGGTCTCCTCATCTTCAAAATGGGGACAGTAGTACTTTCTTCTATAGGGCTATTGTGAGCATTAATGAGATATATAAGAGAAGTGTTCAGTACAGTGTTGGGCACACAGTAAGCTCTATAGAAATGTTCTTGTTGTCTCCCAAGAGCTAACCCCAAACATCTCTTAAATTCATACCCTCCAGAACCACAGTGCCCCTTCCTGGAATAAATGTCCTCCACATTCCCCTGGCAGGCTCCTCATTCTCTGTTCTCACTGTCATGAGTTATCTCCCTTGGTAAGCATCCCCTGTCCCCAGGAACACTTACCAAAACCAAACCTATTGCCATTCAGTCAATTGTGACTCATAGTGACCCTATGGGACAGAGTAGAACTGCCCCCTAGGGTTTCCAAGGAGCAGCTGGTGGATTTGAACTGCTGACCTTTTGGTTAGCAGCCATAGCTCTTAACCACTGCGCCACCAGGGCTCCCCAGGAACACTTAGGCCTTGAATATACCTCACTATCACTCACCACCCTGTATTGCAGGTATCAGGCATCCTCATTAAGTTGTGCATATGCTTGAAGGCAAAGACCCTGCCTTTTTACTTTTGTGGCTCCAGGACCTAACACAGTATATGATAGGGGCATGATAGACATTCACTGTTGTTGTTGTTGTTGGGTGCCGTCAAGTAGATTCCAACCTATAGAGACCGCAGATGATAGAGTAGAACTGCCCCATAGGGTTTTCTTGACTATAATTTTTACAGAAGCAGATTGCCAGGTCTTTCTCCTGTGGAGCCACTGGGTGGGTTTGAACTGCTAACCTTTTGGTTAACATCGAGAGCTTAACCTTTGTGCTACCAGAGCTCCTTTAGACATTCAATAAATAGTATTAAAGAAATGAATGGGCTTATCTTGATTTCCTTATTAGATTATAAACTTCTTAAGCACAAGCAATCCTATAGGCTACATTTTGTATTCTCTGCAACACCTAGCATAACTATATTCAATATTTAGTCAACCCATCAACAAATATTTTTGTCTTTATTTACACAATACAGTGCTAATCTCTGATCAAAGAGTTTACAACCTTTTCCTTCAGTCATCCCATATGCCCTGCCTTAGTTATCTGGTGCTGCTATAACAGAAATACCATAAGTGGATGGCTTTAACAAACAGAAGTTTATTCTCTCACAGTCTAGTAGGCTAGAAGTCCAAATTCAGGGTGTCAGCTCCAAGGAAGGCTTTCTCCTTCTGTCGGCTCTGGAGGAAGATCCTTGCCATCAATCTTCCACTGGTCTAGGAGCTTCTCAGCGCAAGGACCCTGGATCCAAAGGACATGCTCTACTCCTGGCACTACTTTCTTGGTGGTATGAGGTTGCCCTGTTTCTCTGCTTACTTCTCTCTCTTATATCTCAAAAGAGATTGACTCAAAACACAACCTAATCTTGTAGATTGAGTCCTGCCTCATTAACATCATAGAGGTAGGATTTACAACACATAGGAATATCAAATCAGATGACAAAATTGTGGACAACCACACAATACTGGGAATCATGGCCTAGCCAAGTTGACACACATTTTTGGGGGACACAATTCAAGCCATAACATGCCCCATCAAAGATTTCTACCCCTTGAACTCCCAGAGCAGTTCTCTGGGTCTTTCTTATGTTGCTTAGCACTTTCTGCTTTGGACCATACTATGTACATATCTCATTGCTTCCCTAGACTGTGAACTCCTCAAGGCCACAGTACGAGTCTGATTTTTCTGTAGACTTCAATCTACCCACCATCCCTTGCCCACAAAAACATTCACTGAATACTTGTTGATGGTTTTGATGAATACATCCTTTTGCCTAAGGATTTTTATGTTTCTGTAAGGAACCAAGGATTGTTTGAAAGGGGGTAGGGGAAAGATTCAGTTCTTAATTTGAAGGACACGGGCTTGATGTTGGAGCCCTGGTGGCGCAATGGTTAAGAGATCGGCTGCTAACGAAAGGGTTGGCAGTTCGGATCCACCGCCCACTCCTTGGAAGCCCTACGGGGCAGTTCTGCTCTGTCCTGTAGGGTTGCTATGAGTCAGAATTGACCCAACAATGGGTTTGGTTTGGTTTTTTTAATACTACTATGTACACTAAAACCTGCGAAAGCTGGAACCTGTCAGAGGAGGATAACTCAAATATTTTCCACTAATAGAGAACAATAGAAAAGTGGTAAGACTTCACCCTGTCAAAGGCAGAAAACTTGTGAGACTCAGAAAAACAAGGCAGTCCTATCGAGTTCTGGCTTTCACAGGTTTCACTGTTTTATATCTCTAAGCATTATGAATTTAGACTAGGGATTCAGAACTCCTTTTTTAAAAAAGTATATATTGTGTTACAAGCAACAGATCTCTATGATGCCTTAAAAGTCTCCCTATCGCTATCACCCGGGTTTTAGTAATAGACACACTATACTGACTACCTATCATGCGCCTGGTAGTTTGCATTCATTATTTCACATCATTCATTTACTCAACAAATATTCATTTAGCACCTACTGCTTGCTAGAAAATGTGCCAAGTACTGGGGCTACAACTATGAACCAGAAGTTAGTTCCTTCCTGCAGGGAGGTTATAGTCTTCTAGGACAGATTACAACTCTGCAAGATGGGTAATTTTACCTCCATTTTTCAGATGAGGAAAATGGGATGAAGGAGGGCTGCTGGCTACTTACCCCCTGTGCTCTTTCCATCATGCAAAGCTGTTTTTCTCCATTCTGCCTACCTATTGTAATTCACTCATCTTTGCAGAACAATTTTTATCAAGTAGTTGTGGAAAAGGATTGAAAATCCTTACTTTAATGGGGAGTAAGGCAAAAAGTTCTACCATTTAAAACTCACTGCTCCTAGTCTTTTGGTAATGTAAGAAACAAATATTAAACACCAGTTACGTTTTGGATTGGGCCATGGCTTAGATGAAGGCTTGGGGGTCTATGTTATTCATAAGATATGCAGAAACTTGGAGATCTTTGTTACTACTAGATTGTTTTTCTCTACTCTGAGCTCTACTTTTTCCTGATTGTATGGAGTCATGACAAGGATGGGAGACAGATGACAGGGGAGCAATGTGGGGTATGGTTTGAGAAGTAGGCAGAGAAAAATCCTGTGGACTGAAGCCTCAGTAAGCATTCTTGCATTCTTTGGCTATGCCTGACATGAGGTTGTTGCAGTTAATTATCAACTGACTGTTCCAGCTAAAAGATGATTGTTTTGCCAAAGCTTTTCATGTCTTCTCTGCCATCTCTCCCATCTGGTATAACTTAACCAGACCCCTCAGAACCATAACAGATATGTTTAGCTGGAAAACACAGAGCTCTAGGAAGAGACTAAGGGCACCAGAAATCTTTGCCAGGCCGCTTCCCTGTCTGCTCCCTAAATATAGTTCTGCAAAACGCACAGCCTTGGACTGTTACAGTCACTTCCTAGTTAGCCTTCTTACCTACAGTCTCTCATGCCAATGACCTGTCTTTCATAGCCCCTAGTGTTATCTTCCTAGAACACTGATCATGTCACTCCCTGTGTGGTGAAGGCCTCTGCTGACTCCCCGAAGTTTACAGAAGAAAGCCCAAATGCCTAAGAGTGACACAGAAGGCCCTTCAAGTCTGGACCTACCCCCCACCTACCTTTTTCAGCCTTATCTCCCCCTTATCCTTCTACACCAGAGCCACACACAGAATCCCTCTTTGTTCCCTGAATCGGTTTTGGTCTTTCAGACTTCCATACCTTTGCACAAGTTAGTGCCTTTGACAGCGTATATCCTTTTCTGCTCTAGCTAGGGAAATGACACTCATTTCTCGAGATTCAAATAAAATGATCCCTCCCCAGTAAAAACTTTACTGCTCTTGCAAGTAGCTTTGGTCACTCTTTCCTCTCTGCTTCCTTACACTTTGCATATAATCTTATAGCAGTTACATCATTGAATTGTAATTGTTTATTCAGCTTTTCCAAGTTCAATCTCTAACCACTCCTTTTCCCTATCCCCAACTCCTCTTAAGCCACCTTTGTTTTTCTGACTTTGGGCCTACTGTAGAGCTGGGAAATCGATATAGTGTCTATTGACTACAGAACAAATTATGCCCCCACATCCAGCCCAAATGTTTAAAAGTGGAACGAACACACAAATAGATGCAATATGATTTCATGAGGGTTTAAATTTTTCCAAATATGTTTTTAAAAGTCTAAGTTAAAAGAAAAAAAAGCACATATTAAGAAATGATGCAATTAATCCATATGAGTTTATTGTAGGTATTGTGTTTCAAAAAAATTTATAGCATAAATAACCTTTCATGTCATAAAATAACTTAGTACAATTTATAATAAAACTTTGAGAATTTAACATCTCATCAAAATACAATAAAATATGGTTTTAAAATAGGATTAACCCTTTCTGCTTTTCTTTTCCATTAGGGCATATAAACCAAGGATACCCAAAGCTACTGCTGTATTATTTAAACTTTAACAAAGCATATTTGGTTTATTTTAATGTAACTCAACCATCCTAAATTAATACATAGTTTATTTTCCTTCCTGCATGGTTCTTTGTAATTTTTGTTCCTTTTGACTTGTATTTCTGTTTCCACACAGCTTCCTTCTTCATTTTCACCTCTCTCCATCTGCAAAGTCACCTATCTCCGGTCCCCCAGAACATGTAGTTGAACTCACTCAGCCCCTTGACATCAGTTTCTGTAATCCTTGCATCAGTGTAGGGAGTAATTGCTTGAGTAACTACAAAGGTATTTCAAAACTTCAGTGCAATTTGGTTCAGTTATTTTCATTCAGATGCCATCACCGTTCGGGAAGATTAATCACTGGAACCCACTGATCCATGTATCGACTTTCCCGGCAAAAACAAATAAGTTGACTTAAGGCAGGATCCTTCCATTGCGATGAATGTGGATTCTGGGAACAAATTTAGGAAAATAAATTTATTATTTTTTTTAAAAATCAGCATTTGCTAATAATTACACTACTCTAAGAGGAAGATACTTAAATATTCTATATCTTCACTATGTAAAATAGAGATAAGTTAGAAGTACCAATAATAAACATTTCTGGGTAGATGGATTTCCTGCAAAATTGTTAATTATCTATTAAACTATATTCTGCAAAGTCCGAACATACGCAATCCACACACCACATACATATGTTTACATGATGGTATTTATTATTTTGCATGAAAGTATCACTCAGTTTTGCCCTGCAAAACTGTACCCTGGCAGAGACCTGAGTGAAACAACTTGGAGAAGTATCTCCATGCTGTGTGTGCAGTGAGATGAGCTGCACAGCAGTTAAACAGAATTGCCACCTGTTATCCTCCAAAAAATTAGAGTAGTATTTTTCAGGAGTAGCAAAATAATTAGTCTGCCACTTAACTAGAACCAGTCAGAATACAGTAAAATTTAAAAGACAAAGCTATCACATTTATCTCTGAAAACACGTTCTTTACCTACTGAAGTTTTTTTTTTTCTTTTTATCAGAAAAAAGGGTCCATTAAAAAAATGCAAGATTGTGAAAAAAAAATTTCCACTCTATCCTCTTAATGTACTTCTAGGGAATTAATAACGTCTGTCTCCTACACCACTTCTATTTTTAGCTTTGACTGGCAGAGAATGAAGCTGACTCCTTAATGAGGGTGAGCCAGGAATTTATTTGGCTTTATCTAATCTGCCCTGTTAAAGGAATTAGTCACGGGAGGTAGTGCAGATGTAGGTAGGGAGTAGCTGGGCTGACAGTGCTGACTCACAGGGATCTCTTCCGCTGCTGGCAGCCTCCAACGTGCTTAGACATGTTCCTACCAGGGAAAATCCTGATGATGAAACTAGCATATCTCGGCTGAAAGTCCGACCACACTCTCTAGTAGGGCAAAGGCAGCCACCCTCTTGACCCCCACCCATTCCAGATCTGCAGTCAGGAGACTTTCTTAGCCCTTCCTTACTTCCTTCCGGCACTTTAACCTGCCGGCCCCGCCACCCCTTCTCCCTTACCGTCACCAGCACGCAGTGCAGGTCGGGGGGCTGTTCGGCGCCCTCACTCGTCGCCCGGCTCGCGTCCGGCTCCAGCAGCAGAAGCTCGGCGAGCCGGCCAGGGTTGCTGACGCGCAGGATGTTGATGTCGTTCTCGCAGCAGAACGCCTGGATCAGGGTGAAGTGGATCTGCAGAGCCACATCCCTGTCGTCGTCCTCGTCGGCCGCCAGCAAGCACAGCACCACGTTATCCGGGTCGCTGCGGGCAGTGCCGGGGCCGGTGAGCGCCGAGGCACGAC